ATCAACAAAGTTGAATCGTGTAAAGGATACAAATGTGCCCTTGTAATCTTTCCGGAATCCAAGCGTGGACTCGATGTATGATCACAAAGCCCCATTTTTCACAATGTCTCTTATAGTTATTCGGTGCTGGCATTACACCAAATTTTACCGATGAGATCATTGCAGATGCTTTGGGAAATGCCACCGGTGATCAACCACCCCGTAGATCCCGGGCAGATCAGACAACATAGGCGCAGTTGACACCGGGTGCTAGTCTGGAGCGGAGCTCAACAGTGTCACAAGCAGGTCCAAAGGTATGTCATTAATGAGGGACACTTATCTCATTCAAAGCTCATGTGTTTTTTTTCGAAATCTGAAAGAGCGTGGCGCCTGGACCGGGACCCTTGGGTCCTGGCGGCGCGCAATCGAAGATTGAGAAAAAAGAGCTCTAAACAGGTGATGCTATTGAGTCGTGGTATGTGTTCAAATTGCTTCGGTTGGTGGTATTCAACCGGTCACCTAGCGCTCGAGATTTTTTGAACAAAGCCATGAAGCGGAATTCAGGATACCCGATCCCAAATTCTTTCCATGCACTGTATAACTCGTGCCAACTGGGATTTAAATCAAGTTCGTCCCATATTGGATTGTGGGTGAGCTTGAGGACCTGTAATTCAGGCCCCTCATCTGTGGGGTTACGCACAGTGGGTTTGAGCACCATATGGTATTTGGCCTTGTATTTTATTTCCTCAAAAACATTTTGAAGCCAACGAGGTGGGTACCCACGTTCGCAAAGTCAGACCATAAAATCTGTTCGGATTTTGGCGAAATCTGACTCGCAGGAGCATGTTCCTATGTAACAGATAAGCTCTCCTTTGACCCAAGCACGCTTGGAGTCGGTGAAGTGGCAGGAGTTCCACGGAATGTAGAGGTACGCATTTAGCGCTTTCTGATAGACTGATGTAACCAATCTGAACTGCGGATTGGCTGCAGATACCCGGGTTTAAATCCAGGGATACCAGTACGTCTAAGAAAGGTAGCCGATGCCTCGAGACTGACCACTCCATTTTGATATTTGGGTGGAGAGCACCGGAATGCGTCTTGAACCTCTCGACATTGCCAAGCGAACCATGAATGATAGCGAATGTATCATCGATGAAACACTTATAAAATACAATGATATCTTGAAGGTCTTCAAGTGCGTGTGTCTCATACAACACCATGAATAGGTTAGCGTACGTCAGGGCGCATGCTGTACCCATGGCGGTACCAATAATTTGTCGGTATGTTTTGTCTGCAAACACAACATAGTTATACTTCAAATAATGCGTAGGAGTAGGATTGCTAGCTCCTTACGTGAGTTGAAGGGTAATGCAGCCACCTCATCAAGGGTATTGAATTCCATGAGAGGCACCTTGAGAATGGCTGCAATCTGCGCAATCCCGTCATCCGTTGGGATGTTAGGATACATCTGTTAGGGTTTAGCGTATTGCGAGTGTAAGTCAGTAATAGATTACTGATGTCGTGAGTGATGTTTTGGAATAGGCGTAATTTGCCGTAAGTCGTTAGCGCGTATCTGGATATATCAGATAGCAAGATTTGTTAATTCTCAATACGAGTGACTCAAACTTAAATCAGTCAAACAGCTGCACTACAATTGTGGCCTTGGATCCGGGTCTAGATACAAGGCGAGGATAATGTCCTTCAGGGGAGGATGCTATTTGAAATGGCTATAGGCACTATGGCTAGCTTATTCGGAAGGTTGAGAGTAGATGCTACGTGGTAGATTGAAGTAAAGATGTGGTGCTGTCACATGAGGACAGGCTCTCATTATATAGCTAAGGAGTGTGGTTGCTAGAACATTCTACATAGCATTGGAACATTCTTGTGGTGCACTAGAATGTTCCTTCAAATGATTAAAGAATGTGTTGTGTGAATGTTCTAGAATATTCCGGTGAGAACAGGATAATACTCCGAGGATCTCACAGGTGCTGTGTAAGTAAAGAAGCATCTACATAAATTGGCCATGCACTAAACCATAGGGGCTAGTACTTAATCAATATGGAAACATTGTGGCACATGGTTTCCGCATGGGTACAAATTCAAATCAAACTCGGATGGTTCTGATCAATATTGATGGATGTGAAGGTACTTGATTTTAAGCTGTTTAGAGGCCTGAGGCTCAATTTGGGTAAAGGTCTCAGCCTCAGATAATGCTTTAGAAGTGTGTCTTCACTATCAAGCCAACAAGAGGATATTATTGTTGGGAATATATGGATAATTCAATGAGATAATAAATGATACAATATTCCATAACAACATTGCAACCATGTCTCCGGTTACTAATCAGATGTTGCAACCTCTCGGTACCTTCACACTGTGCATTTCTGGACAGAAGGTTTTAGAATCTGGGAGAATCCACGGGAATTGTGCGAGGAGAGGCTTAATTTCGTAGTCTACCCATGCCGATGCATTCAGCAACTCTAGGAGATTTGCTTAATCATGGAGCGTTGAGACGTTAATCTGGGATTAAAGCAAAATTATCAAATCCGGATGAATGCGGTCATAGGCGGGCGTTTAATCCAAAGTTAAATCACTCAGTATTGAGCACAGTTATAACCCAAAAAGTCTTCTATCAGCGTGATTCGAACCTAGTGCGGAAAGATTGCATGTTACAAAGTAACACGAGCATTAACCATTGCCCCAAGACAGCATGATGTGCTTCCGAGTATTAGCATTAATAGTGGCCACAGGCCTGGCCGGTGTCCAATTTTCTCTAAGTCAACTTGGATCAAGACACCTTGACACTGAAGTCATTTTGGCATAGCCACAGTCCTGCGTGGCCTGGTTGACCACTGAGAACACCCACCACTAGAAATTGAAGTCTGATATATCAATCTAACAAGCACTTTGTCATCTTCAGTGTATTTTTTCAAAGATGGTGTCCCTTTTGATCATCCATGAAGTTCATGTTTAATCCTTGTTTAATCCTGATTAACCCGTTTAATCCTTATTAATCCTTGTTGAATCCTTATTAATCCTTGTTGAATCCCGACACTGCCTGATTCATCCTGACATTGGTGAATCCATTTCACCTGATCATTGCTGAAACCTTTGTGGAGTGTACATTTGAATGATTTCAAGTATAATACCCTAAATGTAGCACCACTTCAAGATTGCCTTAGCACAACCTGAATGTTCACAATGTCTTGGGTACTGTTGGGTTGAGACGGTTGTGGGCATAAAGTGTGAAGTTAAGTCCGGAGTGTATTTGGCCCCATACATCCTCCTCCAGAGCAACAGCACCCATGGGTTCTTTGGTGTAGTGGCTTATGGTGTGTTGCTATTGATCTCCGGGAAAGCTCATGGTCTTGGGTTCGAGCCTGGATGTTGAAGGTGTTTTTGTCTAGGGGCCTGTTTAAACAGTGTTTGAATCTTTAATCTGGTTCAACTTCCGCACAAGCACCGCCACACAACGGCCGCGGATTAAACAGAGCCCCTAAGGCTACTGAAGTGCCGCCCGCCTGTCAAGCCCTGAGCCCAATTAATCCGGATTCAATGATCTCTGCTTTCATCCCGGATTAACATTCCAACGGCCGCGGATTAAACCAAGCTCCTATGGATTCTTATGCATTCTCCAACAGGGTGTTGAACGAGGGGACAATGGGCTGACCGGAGATCGGGAGTTTGTGAATTTTCGGGATGACCTTCAGAGCTGGGATTTTCTCGCGCATCTCATTCAGCGCACCATTAAACGATAAAATTGAGACTGCCCTGCGCAAGCTAAGCAGTCAGATTGAAGTCGAAGTACTGGACAGACAATCCGTCTACATCCGTCCCAATACCAATGCCAAATATTGGGACATACTCCTCGAGCTTCTCTCGGACCGCAGCATGCTAGTTGTCCCGGCAGATAAAAATCTAGAACTGTGCCTCGTCACGGCAGAATGGTACCACCAAATGGGATTGAAACTTCAGGAAAACGGCTCGTACGAGGAGTCTGAACCTGACCACTGTCTGTTGCATGCAATGCTAAGGAGTTTTGTGGACTGCACAAAAATCTACTCCCGAAACAGCAGTATATCTGGCTTCTTGTCCCCCTTGGGCATCGGGCGATGGGACGTGGAATTTCGGGACAAAGGTGGGTTGTCCTTTTTCCGTTCGTTCCCCGGGGAAATACTGGTGTAAGTTGTTATGCTTACGTTCCTCAAGATCCTTATCAATTCTGAGATGCAAGCGTTGACAGAAATCGTCGACACTTTCGATAACTGAGAGTGCCAAGGTCCCTTCGGGCCTCGGGGCGAATTTGGAGTTGAGGGCTAAGATTTTAGCTTGTTCAGGGGAGAGCTCAACATCGGACATGTTATGGATGGCATGGTTTATTAATTGTGTATCATAAAACAATGCCAACATTTTAGCAGTAACAAACTTCGTGCAAACATCTAACAGTGCAGTGAAAAAGGGAACTGGGTATGTGTCAGGTCAGTAGTGGTGGAAACCAGAGGTTGAAAGGCTTACCCAGGAAAGAATGTTGTGCGAAGGTGCGGGCGTGGGGTCTAGTCGGAGTTGCAGTCACTCTGCAGCTCCTTCACTTTCCCCCAGGCCGGGCAGGTACCCTCCCTACCCCAAGTGTTGAAGATTTGGCTGACTTGTTTTGTTGCAGGAGTTGCCACTTACATACCATTTTGTGATTTACGATGTTAGCTTTATATTTCATTTGTGACATAATTGCTTGTTGTCTCTCTTTGTTTGCAGGCGGGAATTTATTGCTATTTGCGTGCACTTTGCATGTGTTGTACTGTTTAACTTTTTTTTTTCTAGAACAGCGACTTGTTAGCATAACTTCCTTTTCAGGAAGCAATGGGTTATTCGTGCATGTGTGGCAGCCAGCAAGATCGTTAAGTTAGTGAAAAGATTTTGAGAAATGAGGTGCTGAGGACGAGCGATTAATGTTGGCGGGAGATAAAGGGAGAACAGTGATGAATACCAAAAAGAAAAAATGACTTATACAAAAGGAAATAAAATGACCTCAGTGGGATTCGAACCACGCCAGCGGCATAAACTATTTTAAACAAGGTGCAAACATTAGCCGGTGCTATAACCACTAAGCCATGAGGCCATGCACAGGCTGCCAATATTATAAACCAGATTAAGCAGCGATAAGTCATAGAACCAGCCTGCCATCACAATACATACAAACAGCCGCTACAGTCCCCAAAAGGGAATTCTGGTTTAAACAATCCTAAAAAACATGTAAGTCTCCAAAAAACAAATAACATATCTATATTAGAATCGAGGACCCCTTGTCCCTGCCAGACAAGACCATTTGACTCTGGGACATTTGGATTGGTCGCTGGGAGCTCAAATGATGTCATCCACTCCACGGTTCCACCGAGATGTTGAATTTTTCACAGCTGCTCCACTCAAATGGTGAGTTTCTATTTATAAACTGTTCAGTTCACCACTTGGGGTTGAGATCTCAGTGCAACACGCTCTGCATCCTTCTGCATCCTGCAATAGACAGAAATTTTCGCAGATTGCGCCCACTGCTTCCCAAATCCCCTTCTCAGACAAGACCGGAGCCATTCCTGATTAAGGTCACCTACAGTGCCTAAATCCATTAGTGAGCTGACAACCAATGCTTCTCAGCATGCAATGAGCCCTGAAGAAGGCATAAACAATCAAGTTGGCCCTACAAATCCGGGAGTAGTACTGATGCCAGGAGATGTGTATGTGTGTTATTGATCAAATACCGAATGTACTCTGACCGCTGACCTGTATTCAAGCCTCGCAGTGAATCTGAATGTCACTCACTGGATCAGAAGAAGAGAAGAGACATGGAGCGCAAAGAAAACCAGAGCTCCGTGATTTCATCTGGTTATAGAGTTCAATTCATTATTTGACATTTTCTTTCAGTTGAAAAGTTCAAGGTTGATTTCAATAAATCCACGGTGTTCTGCTGCTTAAAGGGCACAACACCAACAAGAACTTGCCAACGACATAGAAGAATTGTTACACACACGAGGATCCGAGAATGTTCGATCTCGGGCTCAAGCTTTACGAAGGAGAGCTGAAGAAGTAGAACATTGTTTGAGGTCCAATCCAGAGTGTAGTATGCATATGTCTACTATGTCTACTATATAATGTTTTTTTTTCATCTTCTCGCTCTTTTGGCAGATCCAACACAGGCTTTAGACCGAGCACTTGATCATGAATATGAGAAACCTCGGCATCGAGACCGACATCGGGAGAGTTATAGAAGCCAGATACTTAGGTATCAAGCAGAATTCCACCACTAGAAGTTTGATTAAATGAGCTAATCACTGCACATACTCTGTAAAAATATTATTGGAATTCCTCCAACAGTTTACTAGGCTGCGAGGAGTCAACCGAAGGTTGACGACGAGCGGTGTCTTCAGTACAATCATCCCGAAGCCAATATTGTGACTTTGGATGCCCAATCGGGCACATGGCTCAACCCGCTGTAGCGTAGCACGGGCTACTGCTAGTGTACATGCACAAAGATGTAGTACTTTTAAAATTTGTATTTTGTAAAAAATACACCAAGTCCAATGAGTTAATGGGGTCAACATGGGAGCACCTGGTCAGCCCATAAAAATACCTGGGAGCTCCCGTACATTGCTGAAGGGGGGCTGGGTGCTCCTGCATGTATGTGGAGTGTGGGCAGGAGCTCCCGCATGTATGTGGAGTATGGGCGGGTGCTCCCAGTGCATATAGTGATTAGGTGGGAGCTCCCAGAGCCCTGAGGCGGGAGCTCCCATGCTGTTCAGGGTGGGAGTGCCCTGTATGTGGTGGGGTCTCCCACTGAAGTCACCTGTGAGGCCCTACTGATGTAGTGGGGAGGTCCCGCTGATGTTGCCAGAAGATCCCCCCCTTGTAGCCAGGAGCTTCCAGGGCAGGTGGTTGGGGCCTCCCGCCAAACTGCTAAATAACGGCTGGGAGCATCCGGGAGCACATAAACCCTGTCCAACGGAAGCTCCCGCCCGAGTAAGAAATATATAAGGGGCAGTGCCATAAGGACTCTGCAGAATGACCCATAACAGCAAATTGGAAGCATGTAAACATGAAGGACAGTACACGGAGTTAAACAGATTGGACATGTCCATCCATAGTAAAGTAAAGGAGGAGTATAAATGTTGAAGCACATATATGGTGGGATAGCTGGTCGCTCCAAACTTCGTGGACAGTACATGGAGTTAAACAGATTGGACATTACAATACAATGTCCATTCAGACTAACATAAAGAGGGAGTATACATGTTGTTGAAGCACATATATGGTGGGATGGCTGGTCGCAAGCACCGACAGGTAGAGCAGTGGGATGAATGGATCCTACCATAGGCAGAGAGCTGGAAATCTGAAATTGCTGCAATAAATTTCCCTGGCAGGAGCTAGTGGGAGGAGCCATGGACACTAGAAATAAAGTGAGAGAGCCCCAATCCCAGGTGCTTTTACAGCCCCCCAGGGAGCAGCAAACTGTGCCTGCAGAGCCCGAAAATCGCGAAAAAATCCCCCCCTGCGGGGGGCTACCTACCAAGGCTCTATCAACAGCATAGTGTGCCTAGGATCAGTAGGAATAACATAAGAGAGGCTCCTTACAAGGTACCCCCCAGGGAGCAGCAAACGCGCTGCATGAAGGCCCAAAATCGCGAAAAAAAATCCCACCCTGCAGGGGGCAGACGGGAGGCCCTGTCATCAGAATACACATGGGAGCACCTGTAGAACTTGGTGCTGGGAGCCTCCCAGCCAGCTCGGGATGGGAGCTTCCACCCACTGGGAGCCCACCAGGAGGCATCCTATGCCTGGGACTTCTTTAGGGTAGTCATCTCTGGTGGGGGCATTCACCCTAATATGGATCAGGTATATGTCTGCCCGAAGTGGCTGGTGACCACGTGTGTGACCGTTGGCAATGTAAGAATGGTTAATATGAGTGGCATCGGATGATTGAACTCAGCTGTATTGCGCTGGACTACAACCGACGAAATGGGTGTGACACAGTAAAATGGACCCAGACAATATGGAGGGAGCTAACTGACCATCTTCAGAGTATAAAGTAGCTCAGATCTAGAGAGATCAATCATGAGGGAGGAGGAATAGGCGATCGAGAGTGTACTGTTGTTGGGTGACTTGGATCTTTATGCTGCCAGTGTGGCCGACCATGTGGCATGTGAAGCCACTGAACTCTTGCTGCCGCCCAAGCCGTGTCAGTTTGATGCCGGACTTTCCGAACCTATTCCGAACTCAGCTGCCTTTGCCTCGAGGCCGGCAGTTCGATTCGCCTTGAACCTCCGATTGGATGTGGGTTGCGTTATAGAGATGCAACATCACACTTACAGATTGCAGAAAAAGGTCTTTTCAGGCCCCAACCGGACTTTCCAAGCCGCTGAATGCCGGCATCTAGCATGCTGACCAAAGCCAACGTGTAGTAGGATTACGGCAGGTGTCTTACGAACAGCCGCAGTGGCCCATTGTCTATTCACACTTACGCACTTGGCACACAGACACCCGCAGCGGCCCTATATTACGTCCGAATTTACGTGATGACATTCGGCAAAAATGCCGCGGGTAAGTTCACCCATTGACTATGGCCTCTGTGCCGCGGAGGACACTTTATAATTAGTCCTGACAACAGGGAAATTCTCATCCTATATGTACTACAGCCGATTTGGAAAGTATAGAGGGGTTTCGTAAATTTTTGATGCTCGATTTTTGCTTACCTCTGTTTGACACTGAGTTGCTGCTCCACCCACGACTCATGCCGATCATTGCCTGTTATGGAGTTGCTATGCATTTATTTATATCCCACCTCACCTCGTGTCCCCTCATGAACACAACCACCCATGCAATCAGCTTCTTCACACTATCGGGAGCACACCCGGGAACAGGACGGATGCACAGTTCGGCTATCGCTGGCTATCGTCGTCGAGCGCGAAGGAATCGATGACGACAGGTGGAGCAAGATGGAGCGGACGGCGATGCAGTGTCAAACAGAGGTAAGCAAAAATTGAGCATCAAAAATTTACGAAACCCCTCTATACTTTCCAAATCGGCTGTAGTACTGGGTTCAGACTGACCTCAGTACTAGCCACTAGAACACACATGGCACTGTAACCTATTTTTGGTTTCGTCGGGCCGAAATTCTCAACAGTCACCACTTACATCTGACAGAAACGATCCCCACGACTTGAAAATTTCCCAGCGGACCTCGTCGAATGGAGAATTATACTCAATGGCATTACATACACGGCCGACTGTGCCTAGATAAAAGGAGGCTCTGCGTGTCCTTTTCCTTCACCACCCAAGTAATATCACGTTCCACCACGATGCACTTCATCAACTTCGTCTTTGTCCTCGCCGCTGTTACTACGTCGCTTGCGTTTTCTTCGGACCAGACAGGCGACCAAAACCAATGGATCGCACCCTCGGCGACCGATGTCCGGTCGCCTTGCCCAGGCCTCAATACGCACGTTCAACATTGTTTTTACATGGCTCTGGTTAACTAACCTTTGATCAGCCTGGCAAATCACGGGTACCTCCCACGTAACGGGAAGAATATCACCATCCCCATGATATTGAAGGCGGCAGTTGGTACGAAGAAAGACGGTGAAGTGGCGGGCGAACTAATTCGAACACATAGATGGATTCAATGTCGGATCCGATTCCATCATTCAGGCGGCGAAGTTCGGGTTACTCTCGGGTAATGAGCCCACCACCATGGATCTAGACGCATTAAAGTTGTAAGCATCGCTCATTCAGACCTTGATTAAACATCCTGGATGACGGTGAATACGCAGACACAACCTGATCGAACACGACGCATCCATCTCGCGCAATGATTTCGCGTTGGGGGATAACTTGCACTTCAATGAAACGGTATTCTCCACGCTCGCTAATGCAAACCCGGGCGTGGATTACTACAACGCGACGTCCGCGGGCCAAGTCCAATACGCACGGCTGGCCGATTCGGTCGCGAGGAACCCAAACGTTACCAACACTCTCAAGGAATTCCTGCTGCGCAGCCGCGAGTCGGCGCTGTATCTTAGCATCATGGGTGATCCCCTCACCGCTGTCGCCCCAAAGAAGTACTTATACACCCCA